GGTTCAGATAATGATACCCTTTAACGTAGGCAGCTACCTACACTGGACGTCAACCAACCGACCAACCAACACAGAACGGCAGACGGACAGATCCTCACTTTTTCCCTTTCAGTGCCTGTTCTCTGGCTGACTGGGGTGTTTACACTGGCCAATCAGAAAGCAGCGACCACAGTGAGACTCTGATGCATGCTTTCCCATCCTCCTGGCCACGTGACTTCACCGGGCCAGAGCGAGCCTGGAAGGCTGCATCGTGTTCCTCCCAGTTACCCGGCAGCGAGGTTTATTTTAATCCAGGTCCGATCCCACAGCTGCCGCAAGGAACGGAGGAACTTCCCAAAGAAAGGTCAGTGAAACGTGATCACCAGGCCGGCAGGGACCGACACGCAGAGACCGGAACATAGGTGGGCGGAGAGCCGGCAGGCAGAGAGCAGGTCAGCCAGCTCCCAGAGGCCCTACAGCACCCAGCCCACTGGATCTGACCCCACAACCTGTCAGACCCAGAGCTACCCACAAACCACCCCACCCAGCCCAGTATGTATTCTTAGATGTTAAATTGTTATACATAAATTAAATGTGGAATAAATCCATCTATCCACCATTCATCCGCTGTTCCTGGGCATGGAGCCTATCCCAGGTCAGACAGTTCACAGGGCTGGGGTACACCCTGGACAAGATGTCAGGCCATCACAGGACGGAGATGCACACATAAATACTCTAACAGCCAAAAGCAGTAAACTGCAGGTCTTAGGACTGTGGGAACAAACCATTGCAACAGGGGAAGAACATGCAAACCTACACTCAGAGATTGCTGTCAGCATTCGAACCCCTAACCGGGAGGCGTGAGGCAACAGCACACTCATCTGACAGGTAACTAAAAATGTTTCAATTTGACGAAAGATTAAAAGCAGCAAAGACAAGAGGAGAGGAAATCGGTGGAAGGTCCAAGTAATCGGCCAGAGCACAGCCTTTACAGCAGGACTCCAGTGGGCCGCATAAGTATCCGGATCCCGTTGTGACTAATCAGTCCAATAGGTTCTAAGGATGCCGGCATTAGCCAGCAAACGCAGGGCTTTCGTAAGGAGGGAGAGTCCAGCGCCATCATCTGTGGGGAGGTTAAACAATCCGCTTTCATCCCGGGGGGCACCGAGCAGGACCGGAGCACCGATACATCGCCACGTCAGTCGTGGGGGGGGGGGGCACTACCTTCAGAAAAGTAAACCAGCATTATAAGGAGGATGCGTGTATAGCAGGATATCTGCGATGGGGGTGGAGGATCTGAGCACCGTTCCCTGGCCGGAACCAACAGATCCCCCCACTTAGATGGCGGGAAATGACGCCCGCCGGGGCAGACCTGGAACTCCAGGAACGCGTCACCATCCGAAATCCCTGGAAACACCACATGCTGCCCCACCAGCACCACCTTTAGCCTGAACCAAAATGCCCAGCCCAGGACCAGGGAACAGCAAAGCCTCATTCCAGCCCTTGTGGGCCCCCTGCAAACCTCAAGCAGGTGGGGCTTATGCTGGGGGGGGGGGGGGGGGGGTATGGCCCTGACCCAGAATCCTTAGAAACCCAGTGACAAGCCAAAACCCCAAATGAACTCAGGACCATGTGATCTGCTCGTTACAATTACCCATTAGACTCATCTGGGAGCATAGCTAACTGTACATGAGGTCTGCGTTTGGGACGACTGCTGTCTGGCTGAGCAGATTGGAAATAACATCAAAACTGGGTTATATATACACACAAGGACACATAAACAGCCCACATACTCATGCCTTTATGGGCACTCTCCATCCATTCATTTCTATGGGTATAACCCTAATCCCAACCCTGACAACCCTAACCCCTACTCAGCCTTAACCATAAGTAACCAAACAAAATTCAAGACTTCTGGTTCTGTTAGTTTTTTGATTGCAATCACGGATTTGTATAAAATTCAGGTTATCCTTGTGGGGACTGAAAAAATGTCCTCACAAGGTAAAAAGGTTTTTAATCACATTGTGGGGAAATCTGGTCCCCATAATGTAATAACTACAAACACACACACACACGCTTTTAGAAAAATACAGCTTAGCACAGAAGCGAGACTCAGAGATAAGAACATTCCACATCAGAACTTTACTGCCCTTCAGCGACACATAAACGCACAGTTTGCAGAGACATTTAATTTCAAAACCAGGTATCTAGTAATAGCTTCATGCGTTTCAAAAAAATTTGGAAACAAATTATATTATTGCCTTTGGCCATAATGGGGGGGGGGGGGTCTGTTTTCCCATCAGTCTGAACAGTCCTGCTCGCTTGGGGCTGATATGACACAAGGTGGAAATGTGCTTTCTGGGGCGGTGTAGCTGAAACACGGCTTCCCGGGAAAAGGACAGACCATAAACTGTGAGCACCAGGGCAACGGGAGCAGACAGAAAACACCAGGCCTCTCTCTGGCACTGCAGTCTCAAAGTTGGTGCGGATTCAGGGTCGGATCCACCTTTTCAGGGGCCATAAACTGCCCCTTAGCCAGAAATAAATTGGGGGGGTTCCCCTCGATGGATTTCACAGAATTGGATTGGGGGCGGTCAGAAAATTTTGCAGATTCTGCCATTGGGGCCCTAAGCAGCCGACCGTGACATGGCAGTCATGTGACCTGAGTGAGATCAGCTGACCCCACAGCTGGGGAGCTAACGAGGTCACCACTTCAAGTGAGATTCACCGCAGGAGAAGTTCCCATGTCGTTACTCCAGCGAACCCCCCACCAATACCCCCGTTACAGGGAGGAGAGAAAGACCAGCAGTCAACCCCAAGTGGTACAAACAGGAATGTGGAATATTTTATCGTTCAAGGAGGACTGAAGGAGGGAGACCGTTTGCTTTACTCCCAACCAAAACCTCTCCAAAGAGGTCAGAGCCAGCGGGAGTGCGGATGGGCCACTCAGAGTGTTTTTCTTGGGAAGCATTTCCAATCCGTAATCTTCACCAAACAATGAGGTAAACAGTCCAACTCGATAAGGAAAACAAGCTGGGTTTAGAACTATGTTCAAGGTCATTAACTAGCTAATGGCACCACCTTATCTTTGGAAGGCAGTCTGAACATTGTCGACAGGACGGTCCAAATGAAATATTTTTTAGAACCGATTCTCTAAGAAGACACCGGATCTGAAACTGATACCTAAACATGACCTTCAAGAGGCAGGAATGGTGTAGGATTTAAGAGAAGTCACTGCATTGAAACCAGATATTAATACGGCCTTTATTTCAAAAGAATCCATCCATTTCCAAACTGCTTATCCGGTTCAGGGCGGAGGGAGCAGAGAGCCCAAGACCCAGGAGTCGAGGTACAAGGCAGGAGTGACTCCCACTGTGCCTCCACCTCAAAACTGTTTTACACCACAGTAATCTGGCCGGATAAGCACAGTCCCTTCATAAGCGTAGGCGACTACTGACCTTCCCCGTGAATTAGCATGCATCAGGGGCTGAGCATGAAAACTGAAATGATCAGAGTTAAACGGCGTCGATGGCGTCTGTAGTTGCCGCTCACATCTGCTGAAAAGCCCAAAGCGGGACGTGGCTTTGTTTTGTGAAAACAGGAATTAGACTTTAAGCTCGAGCTATATACACATTGGCGATGTGGTGCTAAATACCCCCCCCCCCATCAGAAAACAGCCCTAACTGCAACTGACCTTTAGTAGAAATCAAGGCAGACTATCAAGTTCCAAGAGGGGCACCAGAAAGCGGGCAGACGGGTGCCAGGAGGGGGCAGAATTGTTCTTGGGGCAAAATGCGGTTTCAGCCGGTTTAATGGCTAAGTGGGGGCCAGTTGTAGGGATGAAATCTGCAAAATGAGAGCCTTGAATCTTCCTTACCACAAGTGCCGAATTATAGGACTTTGCATCCTAGAGTCCCTTACAATTTCACTAGCAGGCACCTCGTGTTCAAGTATGCTGTTAAACTGGCAAAAACAACCAGAGAAACTGAGACCTAAGACTCACCTTTAAAAGCAACACCATGGACGCCTAAAGTCACGTCTGAGAGATCAAATCCAGCCTAGAAACATCCCAGAAAGCTTGTTTACTTAAGCTAGCATTTGTCTGCTTGCCCAGCTGGGCTCATTCCCGATGGAGGTTGGAGGGGTGGAAAAAAGTGGGAAGGGATTGCTCACAAGACCAAGCAAACGTTTAAAGGAATAATGATTTTTTTTTTTTTAAATATATCAAATTTACCTCCAACCTTCAGACTTATCTTATACAAGCCGTATCGTTTTCCATGCCTCAGAAGGACTGGGCAAAAGATCCGGAAATAGAACTCGCAAAAACTGACGAGTTTAAGACTATTTGTTTCTACTTTAAAATGAAAACCAGCTAAGACAGTGGCTGAGCAGAAGATGGCCCGCAAGATGGCATCCGAAAGGCAGGGACCAGAAGGTGGCATTTACACAGGGACAAAGGGGGGTGTTTCTTACAACCACAGCATGTCATGCATTTACACAGAACTAAACAAAGAAAACTGCTCTAGCCCAGACACTAACCCATCTGTTTACAGTGACTGAAACCTCAAGAAAATTACTTTTGGGACTATATTTGTTACCACACACACGGGGGGGGGGATGGGGATCAAAACCTCCCCAAATGCTTTCAGGGAGTTCTCATCCTGAGAGATCAAGTCAGAGACACAAGGTGCTACCAGGCATCTCACTGACCGGTATTATGGGAAATGCCCGAACAAAGGCTTTTTCATTCAATTCATTCGTCTTTACATGTCGTGGCGAGTTTAAAACCCTTTCATAAGTATTCCCATAATCGCTTTGCACTGCATTTCAATTTCAGCACCAAGCATGGATATGCTTGTAACACACTATGCAAAAGGTGACACGGAAACTTTAAACGTAGCCGGTAAAAGGCCATGGGGGGCTCATCGTGGGGGCAGGTGGCTCCTGAGCACCGTGATGTCCATATGCCCCCAGGTGCGGATCGGGACACGTGTTTGCACGCTTAGAGGGCCGGCACTCACTTCACCGCCGTGACCGTCGAAAATCCCAAATATGGACGGGTGGCTCTTGTTGACGATGTCGGTGAGCACTTCAAAGCGGTCCTCCATGTGGTCTCGCCGGCCCTGGATGGAATAGACCGCTACGTTGTGGCTTTTGTACTCCCACGTCTTGGAGAACTCGGCGTCCAGCACGTCGAGGCCGCCCAGCTTGTCATTCTGCATGATCTCCGCAACTTTCCCCTTGACCATCTTCACCGCGTCCCGGCTGGACTTGACGATGGTCTTCACCTCGTCGGTGTGGAAAAAATAGCTCCACAAAGCCAGGCTTATGCATAGCAGGAACAAGGTCTCTGGTCTGAGTAAGAAGTAACGCATGATCCGACCCAAAAGAGACAACAGTGTCATTGTATCTTCTATCATTTATACACGCAAGAAATCGCAGCTTTTTCTTACGGCACCTAGTGCGGCTCAGTCCATCATCCGCCCGAATAAAACCGTTTCTCCTGCTAGGCGGCCGCCAGACGCGAACCGCTTCTCCCGGAGACGGAGCGCAGCCGCCGCAGTGAAGACGCACGGGGATCCGTCTAAGTAGCGGGACGCCGCAGAGCCGCCGCTGGCGTTTAGCGAGAGCGCAACCGCTCCGTGGCCTGACCGCAGAGCGCCCTGAACGCTGGCCGTGCGTGTCCGTCTCCCATGTCACGGCGACGGGCGAGATGCGACCCCGGCAGATGCAGCGAGCGGATGAGCAGAGATGGTCAGTCTGACTGGGTTTGGAAAGAGCCCCGTCCCTGCCGCCGCCTCTCTATCACCTGACAGCGAATGAATGCCCCGGCTGAGCCGCAGTGGAGCAGCTCCCCCCACCGCCGCTCCTCCTCATTCAGCGGGCCGCACCACTGGCGGCGCTGGGCGGCCCAATCAGGGGGCCAATGCGGTACACCGTGGGCAGAACGGGCGGGTCGCTTATTTATTATCACCCCGGGCCCATAAGGATGAAGTTACCTGCTTGTAGGTGCGGACGTGTTATTTTACAGCGCTGTGATGTGTCATGCGATTTCCACAAGGGAAACGTAATGCTCACATAAAGCCAAGAATTTTGTCATGGCTGTTTACATTAACACGTACATTTATTTTTAATTTACCAATTTTTTTTTAAACGAAGCGGCTACATCTGAGAAAGATTAGATCAGCTTTACAAAATAAGAGTTTTAAAACTGGACGCAACTGAATGAAATGTTGCCCAATTCTGTCAGTTAAAATCATTTTGTCATCTATACTCATCGATAAATTGCAAATAGAGGCATTTCGTATGACTGCAGATTCATATTAGTGCCAGGAGCGAATAAAAATCTAGAAAAATAACCATAACAACAATGTAATGATTTTAATTTTGTATTTATATATAGCCATTCTTGTTAAAGTCGCAGACGTCACCCGAGAAATCTACTCAAACACGAAATTATATTATTTTATTGAAACGACAATAATAGCTGTAATAATGTAGTAATGTTTTTAATACTGAACGGCACCATTTTATGTAATACTTCATTTTTAAAGCAATAAATAAAGCAGTCAGTTCACGTGTCACTTATTAGTTTATTTGTTAAGTATGTCTTGATATGTATTATATGTATTCTGAATATTTTAAATGCTTCTTGTTTTTTTTGTGCATAAAGCACAGGCGAAACGCGGGCTACTATAAGACGATGCTCGAGGTCCTTTCACTCTGGTCGGCGTATTTCGTCATCAGGCGGCATCTTTCGCGTGCTGGGGTGGCGTGGATAGGGAGTCGGTCTGGAACGGTAATTCTTTAAGTCTTTTTGACATGAATCGGACATTATATGTATTTATGCTGTTATACTGGTTTTCCTAGCAATGTAATAGCCTGTCAAACAACTATCAATGCATGCTTATACTAACCGATAGGGGTTTTGTCGACTTTGGTCAGCTGGCTGGAGTGAAATTTTCATTTCGAAACAAGTTTGCCACTCATTTACATGTATGTAGGAGTTTATTACCTTATAGATAGTCTATAGGGTTTACAAACTACCCCTGCGCTTTGAATGTATGTGATTTTAGATTAATAATGTAATAATGTACATTGTAAGATTTCTCGCATGAGCTAAGAGTCTGAAAGTGTGAGTGTCACACCACATGTGAGAGTTCGCAACCCTTGCGATACCCATAACCCTGACAGTTGTATTAAAAAGTTATTTTGAGGTGGGTTTTAGTTTTTATTGGTTATTTAGTTAATTTACATGTGGGTTTGTCCCGAATGAGTTGTTTTGTGTGTGTGTGACACCTGGTAAGCTGTCTGTCATATCCTACGTGTCTTGTTTTACAGTGAATTGGCAGTTATGGAGTACATCAAAACACCCGCCACAAGCCACCAGGGAAACATGTAAGTGATTTTGTTCAGTAGTACTCGTCATCACGTTGTTTCATTGTCGTTTTAAAGAGCTGGTGCGGCTTTTTAGCCGTTTGTTTTCCCGGGAATTGTTGCCTCTTATTAGTTGGTGATGCTGTGATTTTTTTCAGCCTGTGCTGTACCTGCGGCGTTCCTATACCTCCAAATCCTGCCAACATGTGTGTGTCCTGCCTGAGGACACAGGTGGATATTTCCGAAGGGATTCCCAAGCAGGTCTCAGTGCATTTCTGCAAGCAATGTGAAAGGTATCACCGGTGCCTTAGAGGCAGCACGTAAACCCACTAGAACAGTGTTTCTCAATCTGGTCCTCGGGGACCTACAGGCAGTCCATGTTTTTAGCAAAAATGTGGACTGTCTCACATGGACCTGGGAGGGAGCAAAAACGGGGACCGACTGTGGGTCCCTGAGGACCAGTTTGGGAAACACTACACTAGAACATTTAGTAAATATAACAGTGATAATTATGTGCAGGAGATTGGCTGCTTTGACCTTTAAAGACCTTTATATTTTAGAATGAACTTTGGTTTGCCTTCTTTATGCAGGTACCTTCAGCCCCCCGGCACCTGGATGCAGTGTGCCCTGGAGTCTCGCGAGCTGCTTGCCCTTTGCCTTAAGAAGCTGAAGTCATCGATGTCCAAGGTAAGTTTTTCCTAGCAGTGGGGCTGAATGCGTTCCTGCAGCGTGTCCTGCGGAGCCCTTGTGGAGGGAGGGGGCAGCTGTGTAACTTGGGAAGCGTTCTGACTGACCGATTCTGCTATCTGGTCCAGGTTCGTTTGATAGATGCTGGTTTCCTGTGGACGGAGCCACATTCCAAGAGGATTAAGGTGAAGCTGAGCATCCAGAAAGAGGTGAGCTGAGTGCAGTATTGTAGCCTGCAGAGTTAGATGCTTCTAGTTTTTCTTAAAATAGCATGTTTAGCATGACTGATAGGAGGTGCCCTGGGTTCTGTTATTCATCCACAGTGTACGTGTAGATTGGATGGTACGGTTGGTTTGGGATCTGTGTCCATGTGTAGAAGGTCATGGTTTAGAATCCTGTGGCAAGTAGAGTAATCACATCACCATTGGGCGTTTGGACAAGGCCCTTAAGTTCACCTGTGCCAGGGAATCTGGCTGGACCCTGCTCTTTGATCCTCAGATATCCTCAGTCGTACCTCACTTCAGGTCAAAGCATTTGCTAAATAAATAAATAAATGTAAACGTGGCCTCATGTTGGAGTATCTTCAGGTTTTTTGATGTATTAAAGCTGTATTTGTCTGTGTGTGTCAGCTCCAGCTCAGAGTAACCAAAGGAGATGGTGCTCTCCACAAAGTAGAAAATGTATCTCAGACCTTTTATGTGCCTCTAGGTTCTGAATGGTGCCATTCTCCAGCAAGTGTTCGTGGTGGAGTTCATCATCCAGTCCCAGATGTGCGATGACTGTCACCGAGTTGAAGCCAAGGACTTCTGGAAGGCAGTAGTGCAAGTGAGGCAGAAGGTTGGTCACCTCATGAAGATGCTTCTCTAGGGATTAATCTGCACCCCGTGATTCCGTAGTCAGCCTTGACCTGCTTTAGATATATTGTGGAATTCTTAATGTCTACACGATGAATAACCATGTGATTCAATTTAAGAACAAAGCTAGCCATTTGAACCGATCCGACAGACTGCCTGTAATGGAAACCATCGCTGAATCGCCTGAAGTAACATATCCTTACAGGATTTCTTTCATTTTTTGCTAGTTTTTATCGATGGCAATGGCATCTGTCCCTAATATGACTTTAGTTTGCGTTTGAGAAAGCACTTTAGTTGGGTGGAGTTCTGCTGGGTGCAGGCTGTGATTAAAGCTCCCGGCCAGCTGACATCGTGAGGTCCATTGGCTCTGATAAATCTTGTACGGTATATTTCACATTTTGTTTGTTGTGATTTCTTTCTTGCAGACAGTTCATAAAAAAACATTTTTCTACCTGGAGCAGCTGATTCTAAAACACAAATTGCACCAGAACTCGCTTCGTATCAAGGAGATTCATGGTACGCTGTTCCAACATCTGCACGTTTGAGTGAGCTGGATTTCTGCCCCGAAATCGCGGGGAAAAGCAGCTTTTGTGGCCAAGCTGTAGGGCCGTAAACTCTGTGCGAAACGGTAAATCTCAGTGCGGCTGAGCATGTGCCTGCCACCTGTCGGTCGTAATCTGCCTGCCGTTTTTGCTCCTCGTTAGCGGGAGTCCTGTTTCTGCTCCTCGTTAGCGGGAGTCCTGTTTCTGCTCCTCGTTAGCGGGAGTCCTGTTTCTGCTCCTCGTTAGCGGGAGTCCCATTTCTGCCTGTCCCCTGTGCCCAGCCCGCTTTTTAAGCTGTGTCTTTTAACTAAAAGCATCTCTTGCTCCTGACTGCAGAGGGCGTCGACTTTTACTACGGCTCCAAACAGCATGCTCAGAAGATGGTGGACTTCCTGCAGTGCACAGTCCCCTGCAGGTGAAGCTCGGCTTCCTCTCGAAGATGCTCGTTTAACGTCGGTGTCACGATTCATGGGCTGTCAGCTGAACTTTGTGTAAAAGTTGTAATTTTTTAATATATATTTTTCTGATCGGTATCCACATGTATAAACTTGTGGGGAAAACATTCAAACCCCTTTGTAGGTCTAAAGCATCTCAGCGCCTGATCTCGCATGATGTCCACTCCAACACCTACAACTACAAAAGCACCTTCTCTATGGAGATTGTCCCCATCTGTAAGGTGGGTGGTTTCACTCTCTGGGGACTGGGGGTGGCGTAAACCCTGGTGACTTGCTCTTTACATCACATGCCCTTTTATCCAGGCATACAGACAGCTGTCAGTCAGCTGCCGATGCCTGACCCACACTTTTCTGCCCCCTGGCCCTGCTTCCTCTGTCCCTTAGGATAACTTGGTGTGTCTGTCACCACGCCTGGCCCAGAGCTTGGGGAACATGGGGCAGGTGTGTGTCTGCATTCGGGTCACCAGCACCATCCGGCTCATCGACCCCAACACGCTGCAGAGTGAGTGTCCTGTCCTCTCACTACACTGCTCAACTTCTCACAATCTGTGACCAATTGTCCAACCCAGTGGTTGCTTCAGATCGTGGTATGATGCCCCTAGTGACCTGGAGGACTAACTGCCCTGTCTTTTATTAGACAGGGCCTTCATGCACGCACTAAGTATTTTTATATTTAGCAAGGCTGTGTCAGCTGCTGTTAATGCTGCTGTGTGGAGGAATCGTGCGAGAATCCATCTGTTTACAGTTTAAAATGCTAACCCCCACCCTCCCCTCCCGCAGTCGGCTCACTCACCCCAGGACGGCACCGTCTTATTCCCAAACTATTTTAATCTCTGCACGCTGAAATCTGGCCTCCACATGTTCTTTCCGTTTTTTCATTTGATTTTTTTTTTTTCTTCATTCACTTGAGAAAGGTGCTGTTCACATCTTGCGTTCAAATGCATATCGGGGCCAAACCAGGACCCAGCTGTTCAGAACCGGAGATTCTGATTTATTGACTGTCCTGAGGTTTTCAGAGATGAGCTTTTAAGACTCTATACACATTCGATCACCCTTCAGAACTTGCCGGAGATCCTTCTGGGCTCGGCATAAATCAATCAGGCCCTCCGGGTAGAGCTGGGTTCTATAGAAACCAACCCACTATGCTTTTCTCTGAGTGGTGGTGCAGCTGTCTGAGGTTTGACCTCTGACCTTTTTCCTGGCTGACGCGGCAGTCGCCGAGGTTGATGGGAGTACCTACTGGAGACACCCCTTCAGCAGCCTGTGTAACCCCCGCCAAATGGAGGAGTTCATCATCATGGACCTCAGCATCATCAGGGATCAGAAGCTGGGGGCCGGAGCTGGGCTCCGCTCCAATAAGGTAAAGCCGGACAAGTAAATGGTAAATGGACTGCATTTATATAGCGCTTTTCTACTCCTACGAGTACTCAAAGCGCTTTACAATACATGCCTCACATTCACCCATCCACACACCAGTGGCGAAGGCTGCCATGCAAGGCGCCAACCTGCACACTGGGAGCAATTTGGGGTTCAGTGTCTCGCTCAAGGACACATCGATGGGGTCAGGAGGACCCGGGGCTCGAACCTGCAACCCTCTGGTTGCCGAACGATAGCACTACCTCCTGCGGCACCATCTTCTTGTATGCCTGGATAAATGGGCATGTGATGTAAAGAGGGTGGGAGACAGGAAGTGCTGTGAGACTTGAATGAATCTATTGATCTCCCTGCGGATTTACCCAGGATGCACTGCTTCTCTGGATAAATGTAACGGTGAACTACATGGCACATACATTTTTGGTATTTTCCTGTTTTCTCTTAACTTGTTTTAAGTTTTACCTGCCTGCATTCACAGTGAGTGCTAGCAGATGAATTCTCCCCTATAAAGTGTCATGTCAGTGATTGTAAGAAGCAAATTGAAATGTTTTAAGTTAAGCTGCAAAACAGCCCTGCGTGGATGTTCTGAGTGGCAGGATGTCTCAGCATGGAGGTCAGTGTGGACCTCAGCCTCTGCACATCTGGATATTTCTGAGACAGGGTTACTGTTAACGAAAACCAATAAACTGCAACTAAGCAACAACTCTAAATATTGCTTCTGAAACAAACTGAAATGCAGTAAAATCAAACATAGAATTTCCATTTTGAAATACGGTTTGGCTAAAGATTGGCATTAATGATATCTAGAACATGTTTGTAAGTAAAGTAAGTCAGTTTGTCCATCTTAAGAACATTTTTGCATAATGTGCTCTGTGTCTTTGTGCAGGATTCTCTGAAGATCAGATACATAGAACTGCTCAACAACTTTCCGCCTATTCCTGAAAATAAAATTACTAAAACTTTAACTGTATAAAGATTAAATGGAAATATCTTTAAAAACTCTTTAAACACTGTAAACTAAAACTAAACTGAATTTCAAATTAAATTTATAAAATGATATAAAAACTAAACAAAACAAAGCTATAATAGCCCTTCTGTTAGAGCAGGTCTGCCCCAATCTGAAAGCGTCTGCACGCACGCGTGTTCAGTGTGTACATGTGTGTGTTCAGCATACCCTAGCAGAAGTGTGGGTGCAGAAGACGTCTGAGATGAACACCAGCCAGCAGTACCACTGCCGCACCTTCCTGGGCCACCTGCTGAACATTGGCGACCTGGTTCTGGGGTGAGTACCTGAGGGCTGCTGGCTTCTGCACTGAGCCTTAGAATCTCTGTACTGGTTACTCTGGAATGGAATGGAGAAGTAAGTTCTGCTGCGGAAATGGTGGGTGTAGTTACCTTCTTGTTGGTTCACCATGGTTTATTTTGAGTGATGCATTCTTTGAATGTTCTTGGGGTTTTCTCAAGCATTTGTCCCCCCTGACCCCGAAGGTTTGACTTGGCCAATGCCAACATCAACGATGAGTTTCTCAACAAGATTAACCCCCACCATGTCCCTGATGTGGTAAGACCTCTGAGTTCAGCCGTCAGATATCTTTCAATGACTTTTTGTTATTTTCCCTTAGAAATAGTCTCTATAATGCCAAGCTTTGGTTTATACTGACCTCTACTGGTAGGAACTGGCATGGCATTCCACTGGAGGCCATCTCAGTTGGTTTACCTGTGATTCACCGAGTTCGGCGACCAGCCAGTTTAACATATTCGTCTCGAATGACGTTTTTGGCCCATCCAGGTGCTGATCAAGAAGAGTTACGACCGCAGCCGGCGAGTGACTCGCAGGAACTGGAAGCTGAAGCAGATGGACAGAGACCGGGAGGGCATGGAGACGGATGACGAGAGGTGGGCGGAGGCTGGGCCTCACACCTTTGGGAACTGGGTCACGCATCTCTGCTTGAGCCCTGTGGCTGGTTCTCCCTCAGTTATCGATACTGGGCCTCAGCCAAACCCGAATTCTCCCGCCCTGAAGCATGTGAAGCTTCCCTTGTGCTTTGCACCTTACTTCTGTCGTCCTCTTCTGAGCGATGACTGTGAAAGCTGATCGCTGATACCGAGTTCCATCTGCTTCTCAGGCAATACCAAGACTTCCTGGAAGATCTAGAGGAAGACGAAGCTCTGAGGAAGAATGTCAACATCTACAGAGGTGAGTCTGAGGCGGCGAGACTGACGTTGGTCTGGGGTAAACTCCCCCGAGACCCTCGTGTTCCAGCCACTCAATGAATTAGGTTAATAATGCAAGTTGGTTAATGAATGTGATTTTAATTGAGGCTGACCATCTATAGAGCAAATCCTGCATATCACTTCATCTGGGGGCAAGTCAATCTTACTGGTGTCCGGACATTAAAGTGATTAGAATTTGGTAATCAGTGATCATTGTTGACACACAATGGCACAAAGTGCACAACAACAAAATGTGTCCACTGCATTTAACCCATATGTGACATTGTGACATAGCGGGGGGGTAGCTAATTCAGCACCCGGAGAGCAGTGCTTGGGGATGGTACCTTGCTCAGGGTACCTCAGTGGTACTTTGCTGGTCAGGGATTCGATCCAGCAACCTTTCGATTAGAAGTGTGCCTCCCTAACTATTAGGCCACCACCTATATGTATGTAATCCCCTGCTGTACAGTTTTTAATATTATTTTGAGAAGTGTTGCATTTGCTCTGTAAGCACATGTTGGGACGCGGTTCAGTCCATGTGCTGACATCTTCCTGGCAGATTCCTCCAGGCTCCCAGTTGAGAGCGACTCTGAAGACGACGGCGCCCCTAGAATCTCCCTGGTGGAAATGCTGGAGGACCTGAGCCTGAGCGACGCCACTGGGGGCGAGGGGGCGGACATGATGACCGAATAGACCCCCCCCGGGCGCGCGTGGCTTCGGTGGGAGGTGGTGAAGCGCAGCATCCTGCCGCACAGCGTCAAACGGGACTTTCCACCCTGCTTTTAAAATGCTGTGTGTCGTATCTAATCACTGTATCTCTTGCAAAAACTTGTATTATACTAAAAGAATAGTAATAACAGCTAAAAGTAACTATGATTAAATACGAATGACTAGTAGTTGGCTCAAAATCTAACTTTATTTTTCTGATGTAATACACATGTTGCCCACCAGGTGGAGACATTGGCACACTGGTCTCAGTCGACCGAGGGGAAAATCCTGGAAGCCTTAATACTTAGCTGCTGGCTGTTACCGTGATGCCAGCTGCCTCCTGAAGCTAAAGCAGTGTCTCCACCTCATGGTTATAATTATTAATCTCAGGGTCTCACCATACCCCCCACCACCCCGGGTGCCAGGCTGTTGGCTTGAGATATTGGTTCTTCATTCGCCATGAGTCTCAATGGCGTTCGATCAGGTCACGCTGCGCTTCCCCATTTTAGGGCTCCTGGTGCGACCTGTCTCTCCTGGGGATCTAAACCCCACAAACAACCGCAAGCTCACTGGACCGTTGGGTGTCATGGGGGCAGACGTGCCGCAGTTGGGGCTACTTAATGGTTGACATTCATGGGTATTGGGTGTCCAACCTGGGCCCTCCAGTGGTTTCTTTAAGGCAGAGCTGAAGGGCGAGCAGGTTGAGGTGGGGTGTGGGGGTTATGTGGTTGGAACTCGATCCCTGATTTGCTGAAACTAGATCCACTTGGGAAAGAGGCTGAGGGTCGCCTTTGAAGTGGGAGGGGAGCGACCTTTATTTTCTCCTTTATTAGAGGGCAGACGGGGGTAAGTGGGAGGTGTGTGTGGGGTCTGGGGGTGCTTCTTAAAGGTTATATTGTTGACCTGGCTCGTTAGCTGGGTGGCCCCAGGCTTCGCTTTACCACAGGTATATAATATACAGGCATCGTCGTTAATTTGTTCCAAAGCTTGATGGTCAATTTAATGGAGAAGTTTGGGGTAGGTACCTTCACGATGGGATCAGCGGTCGTCATCCTGGCACCCGACACCTTAATGTCCTCCTGACCTTTGGTGACTGATGAGCTTGTTTTCATTACTACATGAGTGCTGTGAGCCCAGGATTTGGGACATGAGCTGTACTTTATAGAGAAGGTTGGCTGACATTAGCTGGTGATAAGAGGTTTTGAAAGCGCATGGCCCCTCCCCATGGGGGAGGGGGGGTAAACTCTGAGCTGTTACCTTGCTTCCCCCTGGTCGCCTTTCTGGTTCCCACAGGGTTAAACCATGTGTGATAATCCTACCCACTGTGCCTCTGGAAGCCTAGTCTCTCCCATCGCTACTTCCAGCTTGCTAATGTTGCCTATTCTCAAGCAAACACTGGAATTTTTTCATTTGGGCCTGGTTGGGGTTGTATGGGATACGGTTCCCTTATCAGTCTGTACAAGGTTCATTTGTGAAAGCATTGCACTGGGAATTGGTACTGAGGTTTTCCTTGTATTAGCGTTTTAAGAAGTGGTGTGTAGGTGTAGTCTCCCAAACAGAGCCATCCTTGATGCTCTTCCGCATCTTATGTATCGAATGTGCACCTTTCTGGATGGTTTGGCTGCTCTTTGAAAGCTATATTCAGCGTCCATAGAGGAGACTAATTATAAGTCACGAGGCAGCTCACCAGATGTACTCGATATCAGATCGATGCATAGCCGCTTTGAAGACACCCAAACATATCGTCTTGCCAAAAGACCACGATGCTGATTTATTGGCAGCAACTGAAGGTCCGTATGGGGGTTTGGAGAGCAACAGTATTGAAATATGATGCTCAAATGATTAAAATGTTCCCCTTTTTTGTTCCCCAAGTTTGTGCACCAAGAGCAACCTGCCTTTTCAATGAAATCTAAAAATCTCAACTGTAGTTTGAAGCTGAAGTCACAAGGAAATGATGCTTTGTGACCCTGTGACAGGAGACCTTTGTGTTCTGTGTACTAACAACGTGATGTTTACTTTAAAGTTCCCTTTAAAGCACCTTCTGAAACCTGATTTCTGACACGGTTTGCACCCTGGTTCTCTCTTCTCTTGCCGTTTCAAGTTTGCAATCTTGAGTCCTTTGAATAATGTTCCCTCAAGCCGGATCCTGCGGCGGAACATCCGCGCTCCGCCGATGTGTGTAACGCTCTTGTTTCTGCGCCGTGGTCCGTGACGTGAAGCATGACTGAGCCTTGCTGCCCTGCACCTGTCATGCTGACTGCAGCTGAACGGCATGGCGGAGACGCGACGACTTGTGTTATCTGAGGTTCGTCTCTGGTGGTTTGCCTCAAGATACAATCGCCCAGGTATGAAAGTGATGAAATTCTGAAATGTTCCCTTGAAGCTGTGGTGCGCTAGGAGTGCCCCCCTCTGTCCAGAGGAGCTGGGCTCCGGAGCTGTGTACTGAGGGCGGGGTATAACACAATGGGACCTCTCCCATGTTCCAGTTCCTCAGTACATCTGGAGGACCAACCCAGTGCAAACTATGCCATTGCTCAGCTCGTTTGATATCCATTGAACAGGTTTGCGCTTTACTTGATGGGCATAAATACTTAGTAATAACTCAGTTACTACTGAAGTACAAATCATGAACAAATACAGTAGCTACTTGAGATAAAAGATGCGTCATGATTCGTTGATGACCAGACACATCAGTAATTATTATTTCTTAAGTGAAGATTCCTTCTGTACTTCCTTCAGCACTTCACAAAGCTTTACAGAATTCACAGAGTAAGAAATGTAGTAATTGCTTGAGATAAGAAAAAAAAATGCATCCTGGTTCATTAATGAACAAACACAAGATCGGTATTTAAGTTATTCATGACTCGTTCCTTCAGTTGTTCCCAAAGTTCACAGAATTAACACACACAGTAACTGCTTGAGATAAAACCTGTCACAATTCATTAATGATGAATTAACATGAGATTAGTACGTAATTAAGACTAGTTAATACATAATAGCATAATACTATATTATTTATCTGTCCCCCCCCCAGGTTCGTTATGGTTTGATCTTGTCGAATATGAAACCTAATTTCATGGAGGCTAATATGGAGCCTCACCTGTGAACTCAGTGGTCAATCAATCTACATCATTCATGCTTGTTACAAGGTGGTTGTGTAACGAGCTGTAAAGCTGTGATTAAATGGTGTTTATTTAGGGTCATGCACGCCATGAAGCTGTGGACATTAAGATGGTCCCCACGCCCAGGTCAGAAATCCTCCCTGAATAATCGTGTTCTATTTCCGTGTGCCGCTCTCTTATTTGTTCTTTTGAAGTTGCCGGATGAACTCTCCCGCCTTCCTAAGCAACTCCTGCACGGCTTCGTTGTCACACCGGCATCTCCTTTGCCTGCCGCTGAATCACAAAGGGTCACGTCCCCGTCTCACCTGTTCATGCGGCTGTTTCTGTTAGGATGCTCGGCTGATGGATCACTGGAGCTGGTAGACGATCATCTCTCCCCTCTTAGGATCACTAGAGGACCGTTCATTGACCTCTCTCGTGGCCCCCTGCATTGCCAAAATGGGCTTCTTCATGGAAGTGGTGGGCTTCTTCATGGAAGTGGTGCACTTCAAGAATGTTCTGGGTAAAATGTCATCACCTTTCAAAATTCTGAATGGGCAGCAACCATTCGAGTCCCCGGATTCAAAGGACAGGGTCCCTCCTAATTCACTGGCTGGCACAGCATATTTTAAGGAGAGGATTACACCTATTTCTGTTTCATTTCTTACCCTCCTTTACTCGCGTCCCTCACCATTCCACCATGTAGTGATAATTACCCAATGTTTTCATTAACAGACACTTTTAAATAATCCAAATGCATGCATCTTGGGAAACAGGTTTGTGCTGAGATGCCAGTGAAGGTAGGACCTACCCAGGGTGTGTGCTGAGCTGAGATCCTCCCATGATGAGACCAGAGAGTCCATGAGGTTCCTCTTGGCTCTGCGTGGAGGGCCAGTCTTCAGGTCTCACCGGCCGACTTCAAGCAGTGAATAACTCGCGCTTGAAACCGCAGCTGCAGTGTAGCTGAAATAGTGAGTTTGATGGCACCATTTTGAGCACTTGTGGTTGGAAGAACTTGGGGATGGACGACTTCAACGAGGAAGCAGGTCTTTGGATTTGTTGGCCCTGTAAGGTTATTGAGGGGACAGGAAATGTGGTTCTAGGCTGCAGTGGAAGCGCAGTAGATGTATCAGCAGTGAATAGGTACGGTTTGTGCAGTTTGGAATGCAGTTAATTCACAGATATCAATTATGGGATCATGTCTGTCAAGCAGAGATTTTGAGAGCATGCCAGTGCTCATGCTCACCCCCCCCGGCCCCGTCTGCCGTGATTCCGCTTTGTTGATCGTCTGCTGGATGTTCCAGGCTGTTAAGCTCATAGGGGATAACAGTTCAGAGGGTGAAGCGGCTTGTCTGCCCCGCCCGCTGCCGAACGCGGTGACACACCGGCATGCATTCCGGGCTCCTCTCTTTGTTGCCATCTTCTTTTTTGTCCATCGCCCTTTGATTACTGGTCTGAGGAATTGTTTGTGTTCCATAACAACTTTTTAGTTCAGTGCTTCCCAACCCAGGCCTTGGGGACCCACGGACGGCCCACATTTCTGCTCCCTCCCAGCTCCCTGCCAGACAGTCCACATTTCTGCTCCCTCCCAGCTCCCTGCCAGACAGTCCACATTTCTGCTCCCTCCNGCTCCCTCCCAGCTCCCTGCCAGACAGTCCACATTTCTGCTCCCTCCCAGCTCCCTGCCAGACAGTCCACATTTCTGCTCCCTCCCAGCTCCCTGTCTGGGAGTCCTTGAGGACCCGATTGGGGGAAACCCTGCTTTAGGTGATATTACAAACCATCGAATGCCTAACAAATTAACAAAATTATTAGGGAATTCTATGAGACATTTTGGGATCACAATAGTAGCTTTTTGAGACTGTCAGCGTCAGGTGCTTCTGCTACACGTTTGTCATACTCAGATCCCACATCGCTGCCCCAAGTGGAGGATGATGTGCTGCAGTGTTTGGGCCAAGTCACATGACCTTCATGGTGATCCACTGACCAGCAGAGTGACACCTTTTCAAAACACAGGTGAGTGTCTGCCGGACGCTGAAGTGGCTGCCATCGCCTGTGGGTAACCACACCCATGCTGGCATGTAGACAGGTTCTGCCAGGGAGCGGCAGAGCCCAGTGAGAGCCTTCAGCCTGACATTGCAGGCATAAGCAGGAGTGAGACTGGGGTTGACGCTAGCATTTTTCTCGGATAACCATGGATGACCGGCATTGTAGATAATCTCTGAAGATGTGACCTTTTCATTCTTGGCTTTCTGTTGTCTTTTTTTTTTCCTTCCAATTTATTTCAGATGTTGAATCACTATGGCGAAGCTTAAGTCGTAAAAAAAAATGTATGCTAGGCTAATAACATGGGAACTGTTACCAAGCACATAAGACGTGATCTCCTCAACAGACACTCAGGTCTTGTGAAAACGACACGTACAACAGATTAATGGTATTGGACTTCCAGACATGAGGGTTCAGGGGGTGGCACTGTGACCTGAAGGGAGGAAATATAAAGGTTTTTTTTTTTCTTCAGTACTCTTCAGATCTCTCAAAAGAACCTGCTTTCTGTCATGGTAGCAGTTTGCATTTATGCATTTCTTTAGTTGCCGATTTATACTACTACTGTCGTAGAAGTTTCAAGTGTTATAATTATAGCAACATAGGCTAGTTGTTCAGTTACACGTACTCCTGCCCCCCCGCCATGCGACAAGTCAGATTCCCAGCCAGCAGACGCCCTTTATCGTGTGCGACGCCTTTTGCTCTTGAATGGGCCTGAGACTCATCACGCACCGTGCAACGCGGCGGATAACGTGCTTCTGAGGTATCTTTAAAATCATTATTTTTTTATTTCCCTCTCATCCCCTGCCCGCCGTCCGCAGGATTTGGCGGCTGCCCCCGGCCGGGTTTGAGAAACGTGATCTCAGTGCAGTTATTGTGTTGCGGTTTCATAGCTGCCCGTGTTTGGTTACGAGCAATAAAAGATCAGCGGAGATAAGGCCAGGAGAGGCTTGACACATCCCCGCAAATCTGTCCCACCTTTCAGCAAGGCTCACGAAGGCTTCAGCGGACGAAGCAGAGCGTCCTGCACACGTCGTGTGAGGGTAGTGTGTCGCATGACCACGCCTTGGCTCAGTAGTTTTCAACCGTCATCCTAGGACCCTCTGTCTCCTGCTGAACATGTCCAGGATATTGTTACTTGCATTCTGCAATGATGACAATAATTAACAAAAACAAACAACTGTGCTTTATTTGCCATTTGCAATGTACAGGTACACTGGGATGCTTCTCTTTGCCGACCCAATCTTGCTCTCCCTAGCTTGGGGGTCACAGCGCAGGGTCAGCTGACACACAGCATCCCCAGAGCTGGGGGTTAAGGGCCTTGATCAAGGGCCCAAGGCCATGTGACTGTTCTGCCAAGGTCAGGATTCGAACCGGTGATCCACAGGCACAGAGACGGAGCCACTCACTGCACCCCACTGCTAATGCTTATTAATATAAACATATTCTTATTTGGTTTCACTGCCAAACAATGTAATTTCTTTCGAACATAACTCAAGGTTTTATTCCACTGTCCTTCAACAGTCCTTTTTTTGTTCTCAGTTTGTGACATCACTCTCCAAACAGAAGGTAAAGGTTTATGGGCAAAAAAACCCCAAAATCTTTAACCTATTTGGCAAGTGGCTATAACATCAGAAGCCTGACAACCATTAAACTTGGGCTTAATAACTGGAAAGATGCCTTCGACAAAATAAGACGAATATTGCAAATTAATTGCTTTTAACAATGTATGAAAATGAAATGGACCAAGTAACAATGATTCCCTGCCTTTCCTCTCTATCAGTTTTCCCTGTGAGACGCCGCTGACAGAATGGTTTGATTTTAGCTGTGAATTCTGGGACTCTGTTTGTCACGACTGAAGCTCTCACACTGTTTAGAACCAGGAAGGAATACTATTAGTTCATATAAAAAAACCTTTCAGCAACAGCAATGTTTTTTCTATGCTTTGCAAGTAAATTGGACATCCCCTGGTGCTCGCTGTGGCCCCTTAGTGGAACGTGACCCCCCCCCCTGTGCTGATGTGCCCCCCCCCCCCCCCCCCCCGTTTGTGAACTTACTGCTCTAGGTGTTCCTGTGCTTCAGCATCCACACTCTCCGCACATGCTGGGTGGCGTGTGAAAGCCCCCCCATTATGTGACAGCAATGCGGAACCCGAGGTAAGCGCAGTCAGGGGGGGGGGGGTATGCAGGCTCAGGTGCGCATGTTTAGCAGCAGGCCTGCTCATGCACATTGCATACTGCTGCAGGGTGTCTATAAGTTCAGAAGGTGTCCAGAAGTCGCTTCAGGACAGTTGTTGAATTTCTATAAGCTGCTAGCAGTTGTTTTTATACCCTGTAATCCTGTAATATCACAATAAGCGATACTTAATGCTTTTGGATTTTTTTAGGCATGTTTTTAATTACTCTGGCAGGCTGAGTGACAGGCGGCCCAGGTGACACCTAAACGCCTTTCTGTTCCCCCTTTAGGGGACAGACGCAGCGCCAGGCCTGCCAATCACTACTCCTCACACAGCACGGTGACATTTGTTTAGTGTTTTTTTTTTTTTTTTTTTTTTTTTAAAATGCAAAATGTTCTCCATGGTCAATGTTGGAAAAGGGGGGGGGGGGTGACATTCAGACTGCTATTTCAGGACTGACGGTAGGTGTGCTTGGGTTCCCGCTTAAGGCAGCCTCCCGGGCACGCATTCTTGCATCCCTTAAGGAACCGGTTTGTTGTCACCAGCTGCTCTCCACTGCAAACAGGATGAATTCCTCATGCTCCCTGGTATCTGGAGGGCACTCTGGAAGCCACTTCCTGCCATGGAGTTTGGCATAGTGCCACGGGAAAGGGGGCCGGGGGGGTACCATCTTCAACTGGCTTTTCCAAGGGAGTAGCTGAATTTGATGCTGGTCGGCCGAACTTGTCATGTGATTATGTCGTTTGTTCGCTGACAATGCAAGCTGAAGCAAACGGCTGTCAGGAGGTGGCCCTGATTTAGGGGTGTGTCACTATTAAGGTGTCGCACACTGACAAATTGCCGGTCCGGAGTTGCACTGAATCGTATCGTTTTTCTGTTTGACTTGGACACTGGATCAGCGTCCCTGGAAACCAACACTGGGATGTTTTTTGTTTTTTTTTTTGGATGTTTTTTTTTTTTTGAAGGAATGATGAATCGGTACATATGAAACGACTCTATTAGCAAAACAACTTTATTAGTAAAAAAAAAAAGTAAAGCTGTTTACATAAACTGGTAACTTTATACACAGACGACATACGTGGTATGAAACTATGAATTCAGTGAATTTACACTTACATCAATCAGCCTACTTAAACATTTTGACTTCGGATGATTACAGTACATTCATTGAATGGCAATTTCAGTCAACAGAGTGTGTTACAAACATATGGCAACAAGGAAATGTTCAATCACCAGAGGGGGAAAAAAAACTGGCAATTGGTAAAGGCTAGTCAATTTTTTTTTTTAGCATATTGTATATAAATATCAAGCATAAATACTTCCATACTTAGAAGACCACCACCCACTGTCAAAGGCAAATTTTAATAATGGAATAAGGAAATATGTAAAAATAACAAGCATATTTAATCATTATTGACTTCCCATGTAGTTTTCACCTTCAGTTTTTAATATTCACTTAACAAAACCAAGAAGTGATTGAGGAACTGAGTGTGTCATGTGAGCTGTGACATCACTGGCTTTGACAGCATTCATGCTTAACAAAAGATATTGTACACATTCTTTGCTTAGCAACCCAGACGGGCCAGACCTCAAACAAAAACAATGTCAATATTTGTCCAGATCGAAGCCTCCCTGCTTTACAACAGTTAAATTCATAGTGTTCATCATTCAGTCAGTGTGTATGTGTCAGCAGTAAATATCTGAATAAAAGCGGCTTGTTTGTTAATTTCACAGCCCTTTGTCGTGATGAAATAAAAATCAGCCCCCCATTTATGGTACTGTCTGGTATCATTCACTTATCCACCATTCAGAAGCCCCCGTACCCTTGAATCATATTAATACGGTAGGCATGGTAAAAGCATCTACCAGAGCAGTCAGCTAACGTGCTAATGTGTGAAGCCGCAGACCAGCATTCCCACATGTAGCCCATCGCAGTGTCACATCACAGGGGAGCCCCGAACGCTCAGGTTAGTAGGAAGCCGCTTTACCATCAATGCGCCTTTGAGACCCCCATTCGGCAAGGACAGGGGGCTGGACAGAGAACATACAGCTAAACATACATCCAGTCACGTTTGGGAACATGTTAGCGTGCAGAGTAAAGCGAAATCAGGAACAGAGTCAAATAGAATTAGCCGGTATCCTTTGCTTAGGTGTTTGCTAAAAATGCTCCTTACGTTTACATGTTACTCAGCGCAGTGCACAGAGCATTAACGCACTTCCCTGTTTCTGAACGCTCGACCCACCTGGTATCTGTAGGAGCCACAGCGGTGGACCTGACCTGAGGCGGGAGGCCGCTAGCTGATCAGAGCGACCGTGCTCTCCTGCTGTCCGCCACACAGCCCCGAGAAAAACTTCAGCGCCAGGCGGACGTGGATGGGCACAAAGACGTAGGAGGTGTAGATGACCATGGCCACCATGGTGAAGAGCACCGTGTTGAAGAGCGTCTGCTCCCAGGGCTCCAGGACGTAGATGCTGGTGATGAGCAGGTACTGGTAGTACAGCCAGTGCAGGTAATCCTTCAGGTTCTTCACATCCATGACGGAAAGTTCCGGCACCACTTTAGGAGGCAGGAGGAGGCAGGCATGCGGACAGAACGTAACACAGGGAAGCAGCAGCATTAGAGAGACCAAAGACCTGCACTGCCCCCCCAAACCAGTTCTGGTCCTCATAATGTTATAACTGTTATGAGCCCCCCCCCCCCACCAAGCCACAGTCCTGAACCACATTCATGAACCGCAGCCTTAGGGTATCTCAGCCAGTGTGGCTTTTATGTTGTGGGGGCGGGTATGGCTCTGGGTGACCATAAAGCAGCAGTGAAGGGGGGGGGGGGGGGGCAGCTGCAGGCCAAAAGACCCTCATGTTTGCTGATGACCTTTAGTGACCTTCAACTTGCTATATGAACTGTACTTACAATGCAAATCTGAATGGTGGTCTTTTGGGTAGCAGTAAGATCCAAAACTGTCCCCAGGCTGTTGTATGTGGGTAAAACTATGTAATATCCTCAACAAACATAACCATTATAACCATGTTTGTATGAGCAGGAAAGCACCGTGCAGGTATATATATATATTCCTCCACTGTACAAAAATGCACGCGCAATTCGTCTTGTTTGATCATCGCGACACTGAGGAGTAACTAATACGTTAAACGCCAGTATGTGCGTAATCTCAGAAAAAATAACCTGCTCCATCGCACAGGAGAGGCTGAGTCAGCGAACTGCGGCCAGTGAGAGACTCTGGTACAGCTGACTACAGCATCATTTCACCCATCTGTGTTTCTCCTAGAATCAAAACAACGTTTTCCCATTTCTCCAAGCACCCGACAGTGTGGTGTAAGCGATTTGTATGCATATGTTGAGTCTCAAACGGAAATACTACGTTGTGCTAAAGTCAGCATGTACATCTGGGATTATAGTGCGGGGAGAGGGACGCTTCTCCGCGACGGCTCCACGTTGCCGTGTTTGCGAAGGTGTCAGTCTTTTTGATAGCTGACCAGTTTCTTCCAGAACATGCCATCTCTGTGACTCGCCAAGGCAAAGTTTATCCACCAACATAATTAGAGTCCGATTCAGCTAATTACGCGGTACGGCGATTCCCCGACGCGCCGCGGTGTCAATCAGGCGACTGATGCCGATTAACAAACGACAAAACTGCGCATCTTTCCAAAAAACGCCTGCAGCCTTTTAAAGGCGTATGACAAAGCGACTCGAATACCAGTGCGATAAGTAATATTCCAACAACGACAATTTGCCTGTACAACTGGAAAGAGCAATTATACCACACAGTGGTGTCATTACAGTGAAACCACACGCAGAGGCTTTCTTATTCGCAAAAGCCGTATGACAGTGCTGCATAAGTACTGTCTGGTGGATAATGTTATCCGGGATCGTACACTGTGCATCTTTGCCTCGCGATCGGCCAAATGAAATTGGAGAGAAATAGCGGTACTGATGAGAAAATGCGGTACTCACCCAGAGATAACTGAGCTCTCCCTCCGCAATGTCAGACACGTTAGACAAAGTTTATTACGGGACCCCGGAGCCGATGACAGGCGTCCCACTACGGTTCCGCTGCTTTGTGTAAACGAAAAGCTGTTCTACCAGTTTGCTTAATATCAGGTCAATTTACCAGGTCTATTTTTTTCCGTGTTATACCACACCCACTACTCCTGTTTACACCTACCTGTGTCACAGATGTCAATCCAGTTATGGATTAAGTGTTAACGGGTACAGCTGCTACGCGCAGTATCAGAGCGCCATGTGAAAAGACACGGTGATCAAGCACCGGAGTTAACGACATCCGCAATGCTGCGACATGGCAGCGACGCTTTGTCGCAGTGGTTCAGATTGCGTAAAACTCCGTTGCATGCCATGCAGCAGCATTCACTGTGCCGTGACATGCATCTGGGTTTGCGCCGATCATTAGATCTGCGTGATTCTAGTGGCCCCGCAGGCTGGGCGCCTCGCATATGCTTCGTGAGATGGAGGGACACTCGCATCAAAGATGTAGCAATGAAGGGGGAAACCTGCGCACCACACCCCCCGTACAGAAATCTCATTCACGGGATGCGGAGTGGCGTCGAAAACAATTGGGATGATGTTCAATACTATAGGTGGGCGAATTATCGTTTTGCGCTTAAGCCCAGTGTGCGACATACGGGGGAGTCCGACACCCCCGATTAACCCATGAGACCCCCTGAAAGCCTCAAAAGCAACATTTTTTTCAAGATCGTTATTGCGCAACAATAGGGAGATGGGGACCCCCCCGAATACTGACGGGTATTTCGCCCCGCTCTTACCTGGCTCGGACTCGAATTCAATATAGTGAAATCACGTTTATGGGTTCTGGGTATGGCTCTGACACGTCAGCTGGCTACTGAAATTGCTCAATGTCTAAATCCAGCTTATACCGCATTTACATCATGATGATACTCCATCGGTATTTTGCCGTGTAGGAAACCAGCCCGTTTATGATGAACTATGATGAAATACCGCAGCTCAAGTAGTGCGAGACTGCAGTAACACAGCTTTGTGGAAATCCACAAAATTAATATCATGAAGACGTACAGCGTGTTTTGTACACTGATGATAGTTAAGAAGTATGCGTTTCAGGGTGTGTTATCTTAAATATCTGTTTGCGTTTTATCGTTAACAGCGAGGTGAAGTGTCTTTTCGCTCGGTGATGGAGTCGCCAGCGCAGATAAATGTTTGTTTTTGTAAGTGGCGCCTTGTATTTTCCCTTAAGATGCGATTAACTTACGGCATCAGCACTTCGTTGCTGATGCTTCTTACGTGGAGATGGCTGCTATGAGTCCGGCTCCGCGGTCTTCGCCATCACTAAAAATAGCATTTATGCTCACGCCGAGCAAGCTGTTTCTGCAGAGCGGAGTCCCCCGTGGATGCAGCCGCTGAGATACAGACTGCAGTCAGGGGCGTCTTCCCCTTTACTGCTGCGCTTCTCACGGAGACTCTGATCTTTAGTTTTGCTGTGAGGTGATAAATCTTCCCCTGTCTTTACAGGCCGTTTCTGTTCAATATGTTTTCTAGAAACATCAGATTGTTGTACAGATTATGGTTTCCGTTAGGGGTTTTTTGCCGTTTTTATCCTCATGACGTAGACTATATTACAATGGTTTTTCCTAGAGGCTTGGGAGAGGGAGGTCTGGGTATCTCTCCTGAAGTCGCTACCCCCGCGACCCGGATCTTGGACAAGCGGGTGGTGATGGATGGATGAAAACACAACCAAAGTGTGTGACAATGTCTGGGGATTTGAACAAAAGAACCTGCATTTGTTGGTATTTATTTCTCGATGCTCAATCCTATGTAATAGCTGGACTAAATTTTCTCCCCCAGCGGGGGGCGTAACACAATATATTCCAGGCCGTGAGGTCGGCAGCTCGATCTGATAGTGTATATTACACTATATTGCCAAAAGTATTGAGACACCCGTACAAATGATTGAATTCAGGTGTTCCAGTCACTTCCATAGCCACAGGTGTATAAAATCAAGCACCTAGGCATGCAGACTGCTTCTCCGAACATTTACGAAAGAATGGGTTGCTCCCAGGAGCTCAGTGAATCCAAGCGTGGTACCATGATAGGATGCCACCTGTGCAATAAGTCCATTCATGAAGTTTCCTTGCTACTAAATATTCCACAGTCAACTGTTAGTGGTATTATAACAAAGTGGAAGCAACTGGGAACAATAGAAACTCAGCCATGAAGAGATAGGCCACATAAAATCACAGAGGAGGGACAACGCATGCTGAGGCGCACAGTGTGCAGAAGTTGCCAACTGTCTGCAGAGTCAATAGCTACAGAACTCCAAACTTCATGTGGCCTTCAGATTAGCTTAAGAACAGTGTGTAGTGAACTTCATGGAATGGGTTTCCATGGCTGAGCAGCTGCATCCAAGCCTTACATCACCAAGTGCAGGGCAACGCGTCGGATGCAGTGGTGTAAAGCACACCGCCACTGGAGTCTAGGATGAATTAGAATGGAGATTGTGAGCCAGGCCTTCTTGTCCAACATCAGTGCCTAACCTCACAAATGCTCTCCTGGAAGAATGGTCAAAAATTCCCATAAATACACTCCTAAACCTTGTGGACAGCCTTCCCAGAAGAGTTGAAGCTGTTATATCTGCAAAGGATGGGCCAACTCCATATTAAAGTCTATATATTAAGAATGGGATGTCATTGAAGTTAGTGTGTGTGTGTAAAGGCAAATGTCCCAATACTTTTGGCAATATAGCGTATGTCTCGAATAATCTGATTGTGTCTAATATGTTGACGATGCCAAGAATAAACATTGGGACAGGCACAGTAATCCACTGTGGACATTAAATTAGTCTGAGGGGCTACATAGCAAGTTGAGTCAGAACTGGATCTCAGCCAAAAGTTGTTCAGAAATCGCCACAGATCTGTAAACAGGATCTGGTCTGGCCCATACGTGCATGAGAGTCAAAAGTTAAATTCTGATCAGGGTGAAATGTGGCTGGTGAGTGGCTCAGTGGACTAAGACTCTGTGCTGGTGCTCAGAAGGTTGTGGTTGGTGGTTCAAGCCTGCCTTCAGCAGAATAGTTACAAGGCAGGCCCTTGAGTGTACTGACTGACCCTGTAGAGTGTGTGTGTGTGTGTGTGTGTGTGTGTGTGAGAGAGAGTGATCACACTGCAGGATTAGGCAGTGTGCTTGAGGGCCTGCCCTGTTCCTATTCTGCTGAGGGCAGGCTCAAGCCACTGACCTAATCACAGGCACAGAGGGTTAGCCACTCACCATACCTTTTTTTTAAACCAAAAGATGCCAAATAAAGGATTCACACATGTTTCTGTGTGTTAGGGTTAAGACCCTTGCTCTAGGGTCTATCCCATGACTATTCTGCCAAGGATGGGCTTGAACCACCAACCTTCTGATCACAGGCACAGAGGCTTAGCCTGCTGAGCCACTCATCACTCCTGTGTGTACCCTCTGTATTTCGTATATATGTATTTTTTTTCTTGACAAATAAATGACAACTGGTGCAGTTACAGGCCGACCCAGACCCAGTTTATAGATCTGTAGTAAATTCTGAACAACATTTGGCCCGGATCCGGTTCAGACTCATCTTGCTATATGGGGCAATCGTCCCTCAGACTCTTAGCGCATCAGCTGCACATCTGGTAAGTGACTGATCATATGTATATGGTCCGGCGCACGTTCAGAGTGTATACAGACCGACTGTAAGCATTCAGACAGATTTTGACACAAACCATCCTGCCCAAATGTCAGTGGTGCCCAAACTTAAGGAGATGCAGGCGGATCTGGCCCAGAATCAGTTGCTATGTAGGAAGGATTTAATGTGGCGCCTTTGACCGAGTGCCACCCGGGTGGGAGCTATGTGTACATGGTTAGGGGGCGTATGCAGGCAGCGCTGTTTACAGGAGGGCCTCTGTCAGATAAGACTTGGCAAAGGCGATGAGACACCACCCAGGTGTGGCCTTCGAAGCCGCATGGATTTAATTTGATTTTACATAATGGTCACATTAATCAGACCAGAGGAGGGATTTCCTGGATGAGTTTGCATTTTGGTCACATGTTTTTCCTGGCTGGTGGGGGCCTTTGTGCATGGCAAATTACTAATTTAAATCCTTGCGAGGTTTGCTGTTGGACATGCAAATAGACTTCACACGTAGAGTCCTCTGAAGCGTGAAAAGGCCCACAGACACTAAGCCGTGAGGATGTGCTCCTGCTCTCTCCACGCATGCACCAGTGGCTGCAGTCTTCTTAAGTAGTTCTAAAAGGCCACCGTGATGACGTCCAGGCTGGTTAAGTCTCAAGTTCCTCAGTTCGATATTGGGATCATCGATGGGCCTGCATCACACTCAGGATTCTGCCTGTCGCCTGCACATCAGAATAGGGGCCATTTTGGTCAGCAGTAAATCAGAACAAGAATTTAGTTTTTTTTTTGCTAAGCAGGTTGACCTTAGAAGGAAATTACTTTGGTACGGTGGTGCTCAGTACAAAACCAACACTGAGTACAATGAGTAACAACGTGACAAGTATTAAGACACAAACAGGATCAAAAAACCAGTGCAAAAGCTGTTCAGTATTCCATTAATAAATATTAAAATGTTTAAGGGGTGGGAAATGAACTGAGTATTGAAATGGCACATATGTGAATAGACAGATGTGCAAAAATCAGTTTATGTGCGTGCAGAGTGAGGGGGGGACAATGCCATTGGTCAACTGCTGAGGGGAAGAAGTTGTTTTTTTGGTGTGTGGTTCTGGTCCTGAATGACTTCAGTGTCTCGCTGGAGTGTAGTGCTTTGAACGGTCTGTGTCCAGCATGGGAGGGGTTAATCCATAAATGAACCTGAACCTGTTTATGATACCCTGAGTCCAAATCCTGTGGGAACCTGAGGTATTGGAAACTGACATATACCCCACAGATGAACAATTAAAGTCCTTTTCTGATAATTTAACCTCTGGGAGGAAAATCTTTTGAGGATATATGCGGTTTAATTCAACATTGTAAGACTAGAGATTACTTATCCTTTAAATGTTTGAATTAAACTATGAGGCAGCTGCAGTTTTATATTCAGTTTTCACAGTAACATTAACCAGAACGTTCTTGCCTCTTCTCATCAGCGTGTTGGGCGGAGAGACGCGGTCGGGAGTTCCTGTCCTGCATATATAGTATGTTCGGCATGGTCCGTCCTCATTGATTGGCGGTGGACATGACGCCACGTGAATTGGAGAGTAAGCGCGCCCTCGTGTGGCCACAGTCAGACAACCGGGTGGAATGAATCGTTGAAATTTCGGTATTGAAAAGCTTGCACCTCGAGCACACGGAGATATGACTAATGTATTAATTACACTGTTCACTGGAACAAAATAAAAGGAGTCATAGAGATATAAACAGACTTAGTAAGAGAGATGGTGAGAGAACAGGGAACAGGGGATGTTTTAAGGCAGTAAATGGCTGCCCAGACTCTCTCTCCATCTGTGGGGTCGGAGGACACTCCATTAGAAGCTTACTGCATCAGCCTGATGCGTTAAATTGGCGGGCTGCAGTTACAGTGTCTCAGGTGACAGCCCCCCCCCCCCATCACTCCAAGCAAGGGGCACCATTAGGGCTGTTTTTATGAAGTTCTGGTTAGGATTTATGTCCTTGGGTGACTGAGGATCCTCGGTCCCTCAAAATCACTCACACTCAGAGACTGTCGTCGGTTTTCGTTTCAAACACGCACCTCCTCTTTTTAAATGAAATTATAAATGATATTGTTATGTTGTTAATTTAGCAGTTTGTCGTTGTACTTTACAGCTGGGTCAAATGGAAAAGGAAATGATCCCAGGAGAGAGGAGAGCTAACATGTAAGGTGGCTTACATGGGCTGCCTCTAACACAGCACCCTATTTTTTTAAATAGGGGTGTGATTAGTTCACTGTGAGAGTCCCCAGCACCATGCAAGGCCGAGCCTCGCTGCACTCATCGATTAAACGTCGGCACATCCCCTGCATGCAGACTACAAAGTATCAAGTGTTTCCATGCACACCGTGATGGAACGTTCTACCCCCTGTGACCCTTAACCCCAGCTCGCCCTACCTGAAGACACCCCGTTCCCTCTTGAGCTTCTGAGGCGTGAAGGAGGGCGGTGCTTTGCAGGGCCTGGACTGTGCAGGTGTGGGCCGGAGGGGGGGGGGATACATTTTGAACTGCACTTAAAAAAAATATAAAAAATAATCCGCAGTTCAGATGAAAGACTAAAGCTTTTGAAATATAAGAAAATGAGAGCGTTCTTGTTCTTGACACTAATGTAGTACATCTTAAAGTACCTCTGACTTCAGGTTGGTGGCATCCTTTTAAGAGTAAGTACATAGTTCTGTCCCAGCATTAGCTCTAGTCAGACGACTTATTCACCTGTGACTGGCACAGAGCGACTAAGGCGTGCTGCGGCACCTCCCTCCTCCCCAACAGATTAGCTCGACCTTGTGTAGCACTGCCCCCCTCCCATAACAGAGGAGCTCCCTGGTCCACATTTAAGCCCCCTACAAGGCTGAGTGCCTGCTGGACGAACCTCTCCTGTATTGGGTGACTCGCCTCTGCTGCCCCTGCTGCCCGCTGGTGTTTTGTTGCGCGAAGTGGGGGCAGCCTAAGGGTGCCGGTGCTGGTGGAGGGGGGCGCGGTGCGTGAGAGCCTCATATCCAATGTCACAAAGACCCAGAGCACAAGAGGGGCACAGAAGGAGGCTGCTGCCTTGGCTGGGTCCAACAGAACCCCATACATTAGCATCTCCTCAGATTTCAAGCCACCCAAATCCCCAACGCCAGCCCCCCGATTGGCCGGGTGGCACGGCGCTACGGGAACGCCATGACATCAAAAGTGTCGATTCGGGGTATCTTTGCCCTTCAGTGTGCTGTTACGTGATGGACAGGCGATAAATAGCTCAGCGCAGAGGTAAGTCGGGATGTGTGTAAATATCTCGCTGGGTTTCCGTGACTAAAGCGCATTGGATTCTGGAGTGTGTTCACGTTTGGTGCGTCAAACAGCAAAGCTCAGCTCGTGCGATGTGGAATGAGATCCGAGGTCCGAGATTTTAATGGAAAGCTTTTCGCTGTTTATGGATTTCCTAACTGGTTTTGACATATTTGTATATTTACAAAGTAAATTGACTTTTTTTAAAAACACAAGGTTTTGCAAGGAAATTATGTCTTTGTTATAAGGGGTTACATCTCATTTTGTACATTTCTTAAAATAAGTGATACACATGCAGAGACTGAGGGTGAGTGACCCTGTGGTTTTTGGGGCAGAACATTGCAGGCAGTGGAAACTTGAGAGCTGCTGAAGTGAATCATTGCTTGGGTTGATGGTCAGGAGTGAGGGGCTGAACCGTGAGGTTACCTGTGGAAGGTTTTCTGAGGATAAACTTGGGAGCCTTCAAGTTAGCAACCAATGTAATGGAAAATTATCTTAATTATGGATATATAAGAACTATGTCTGTATATACACTTATATTTATGTAAATGGCATATTGTGTGAAAGTGCATTGATTTCTGGTGCCGTGCTTCAGGATCTCAGAATGAGGACGCTCGCTTGCCAGCTTGTCTTCCTTGCCTCCGTGGCATTCCTGCTGGTTCTCATGTTGCCCGGTGCCATCGCCAAAGGCCCACAGCGGCCCAAGTACCAGTTCACCAAGAAACCTCCCAGTGCCCCGGAGCCGCTACGGACCACCACCACAGCAATCGGCGGGGTGTGGAGCAAGGTGACCCCCCATCCGACTCCCGCTCTGACAACCACAGTCAGCACGACGCCTCTCTACACTGAGCTCCACATCGACACCGCAGCACCACCCGATGTTGGAAATGAGAACTACACCCTGGACTACAACGAATGCTACTTCAACTTCTGCGAATGTTGTCCCCCAGAAAGAGGGCCCCAAGGTCTGAAGGGGGACAGAGGCTTACCAGGTAGAGGGAGGGGCCATGTCATGCTTGGTATTGGGCTATTGCGGTAATGATTGTCCAGTCAGACTTGGGGAGTGCCGTTTACTGAGGAGCCTGTGTTTGATTGCCCATTGTTTCATGGTGCATTCTGGCTCTGGCTGCAGATCATTTCAGATTTTTACTGATGTCCTCATGCTGCAACAAGCTTCTGTAAACCTTTCCAGACAAGTTGAACATAATAGGTCTATAATACCTCTGTTGTACTGTGTTCATTCCTAATAACTGTTCCGTCAGGCTTTTGTGCTGTTAGTCAATTTCTCTAGGCATTTGAAGTCCATTTGAAGTCATTCCTGCCCATATTTAGTTTTGTTACGCTTTTGATGATATTTTGACAACAATTTAACAAAGTTTTGATGACAGTCCTCTCTACAAACACTCTGGGATAAGTGCAATTACGTGGCGGGCTGCATTTGGATGGATTTTAATGCTGTTGCAATGATTTTACTTAGGAAGAATTTATGAAAAGTATGGAAGAGGATATGAATGGAGGCTGTGATGTCAGTGTATTTCCAGGGGAGCTGGGTGTGTTTTGTGCCATGTGACTAAATGTGTTTCTATAAGAAAAAACAGAGAAAGAGACTGTTGTGTAGACATCAGGTTTGTGAGTCACAATCTAGACGTTAATTCTAAATTACCGATCGCTTAGGATCCAGTAAAAAATACAAGACAACATGCTTCTCCTCTCTTGTGATCTTACATGTTGCAAAATCTGGATGTAATGAAGCATTGTGTGGGAAGTGAATTTCTGAGGGAGGTGTGTGACGCTGATGTTGGGCTACAGGGCCACCTGGAGGGAAGGGAGACGCTGGACCCAGGGGGCTGCCTGGACCCCAGGGCCCGTCCGGATCGGCTGGACCAAAAGGAGACAAGGGTGAGGGGGGGGGATCACCATTAGCATGTTAGGCAGCCTAAACCACAAACAAATCCAAGTCACTGGCCGCTAACTGCATGTGAGATACGGAGCAAAGTGTCTGAGGGTGTTGCTCTGATCCGGTCAGGTGACAGAGGGGACCAAGGCACCACTGGCCTAGCCGGAATTCCCGGCATCTCGGGGAAGCCAGGAGACAAAGGTATGTCACCAAGGGATTCGGCTCGGCTTTTTTTTGTCCTTGTTGTGATTGTTCTGGGTGACTAATTATTAGTGGTTGTGTCTGTCTGTTCCCAGTTGTGCATCTGTGTATAAAAATGAATAAACTGAATTTAGCCCATTTTTTTTTTACCGTTTAACATTGACTGAGAAAGGTGCACTAAAGCCGGCTTCAGTGCTCTGCACCAACTAACTGTACACACACGGATGGGGTCTTGCACGGCCATGACAGGACGTTTACCCTTTACCTCTGCAGGTGATACCGGCTCCAAGGGCGAGAAAGGAGATGCCGGCTTTCCGGGATTCAAAGGGGACCGAGGCGAGACTGGAGACCCCTGTGAAAACGGGACTAAGGGTGAAAAAGGAGACGCTGGGAAAGATGGTGCAACTGGACCTCAGGGCCTGGCTGGAGACAAGGGTGAGAAAGGCGACTCGGGGGACAAAGGGCAGTGCGGGCCTTACGGGGAAAAGGGACAGAAAGGAGAACCGGGGGACCCTGGGCTGCAGGGTCCGGATGCAGCTGGAGGCTACCTGGGCAAGGCTGGTGGGCAGGGCCCCCCTGGTGAGCCAGGACCTTCTGGGGAAGCAGGAGCACCAGGAAAGAAAGGGGAAGTGGGTACACGTGGTCCTCCGGGTCCTGTCGGCGCTCGGGGGTTTGTTGGTCCAAAAGGAGACAGGGGCTCCCCAGGGTTGAGGGGGGAGCGGGGGCCGCGGGGTTTTAAGGGGGCCCGGGGAGCAAACCTGGTTCTGAAGCGGTCCGGCTTCAGTGTGGGCCTGTACCCTAGCAAGTCCTTTCCTCCGGCCGGTTTCCCGGTCAAGTTCGACAAGGTCTTCTACAACGGCGAGGAGCATTACGACGTCACCAGCAGCAAGTTCAACTGCACCTACCCGGGCGTCTATGTCTTCGCTTACCACATCACTGTACGCAACCGGCCCCTACGTGCAGCCCTGGTGGTCAACGGCGTCAAGAAGGTGCGAACGAGGGACTCACTGTACGGGCAAGACATCGACCAGGCCTCCAGCCTGGTGCTGCTCCAGCTGGCAGCTGGGGACCAGGTCTGGGTGGAGACACTAAGGGACTGGAATGGGGTTTACTCAAGCAGTGAGGACGACAGCATCTTCACGGGATTCCTGCTCTACCCCGACAAGGTCTGACCTCTCTGCTCTATACTGCACAGCTTTAGACAGCAGCATCATTCCAAAGATGAGGGTCCTTAATACACTGCAAAAAAACAGGCAGCCTTTTCTGTCCAGATGTTTAAGGTAAGATGATCTCATGTAAAGGGTCTTATCACGCAGTGTGCAAAACCGAGGTGGAGGAACTATCTAAAAAGCTTACAATTGTAAATGGTCTGTAGTATTGTGTTTGTGTAATTGTTACAAACTGTCTAAATATTGTTAATCATTTGTACATGAAATAAAATTAACTTGAACAACATGGACTTAGTCTATTGTTTTTTATCCATTCTTCCGGCAAGTAGAATCAACTGTAATGTACAAAATTCAGCCCAACACATACTTGACTGATATAACCAGAAGATGTAACTGGACAGCTGGAATTATAGCAAACATTTTATGTTTGACAGCTCATCACAAACACACAAGTAAGTAATTTTCAGTTTTACAAGATGATGGAACTTCCCGTCATTAAAAATATGAATTAAATACGAAGTCAGATTCAAAGTTGAATGGTAGTAAATCTGTTTTAACCCCCCACACCCCCCCCACACACACTTGTGAGGGACCCTGGCAGACTGGCTTGTAACACCCTAAAGATAAGCAGCCCTGTTTATACTAGCAGGGGACAGCAGGGGGAGCTCTTCTCTGAAAATAAAAGAAGGCTGTGTACAGAGAGGAACTCCTTGCCACGGAGGCTGCACTCCTCCAGAGCCTGACTCACTGCTGCCGTTGCAGGTCCTGTGGCACAAAGCAGTAAGTGTGCTTTTCCTGGACATTTTCCTCCGACCTCTCGTCCAGCCAGAAGAAAGATCCAGTGAATCATCTCCGAGTAAAAACTGGCTGATTCTCATGAGATCATGGGCCCAAAAAAAGTTTAATTCAGTTGTGGTGAGCAGTCCAGTGAAAAACAACATTTGATTATTGTAACTGCAGTGTAACACTCAAAACTTCAAGGGGAAAATGCATCTGGGTCTAAGACTCACAATGACCTGCTCAGGATTCAGCCTTTGAGGAGGACAGATCCGTCAGGATGTTCCCAGTGCTCAAGGGCTGGGGGTCCCTCTCAGATGGATCTGAAAAGCGACCATATAATTATTATTACTGATGTTATAATGTTTGTTGTTTGATGTCCTTGTAATGAGTGTTATTTTTCTTATGGTTGTTTGTATTCTGTATTTCCCTACACTTCATTTTCTCCATCCCACCGACATTATTAGTTATTTTTCCTGTATACCTCTGTTTCCTTTTTTTTTCTTTTCTTTTCTCTCCCCATGGTGATTAATGTCTGTTCTCGTTACGATTGTTGTTTCTGTATCCCCC